TTTGCTTTTAAAAAGGATCATTCTGCACCAGTGGCTGTGTTTAGCCTGGAGTTTATCGACTTTTGTCACATAATCGCAGCAAGCTCCACTGGAGGGACTGAACATAGGTGAGGTCAGGACAGTTGTCTGTGACCATCAGGTATCAGTTTCCTGTGTCACCTTGTCTCAGACACACACACAGCCCCAATGCTGCCTCACAAGGATTGTTACTGTGAGTCAATCATGAGCTAGCTGACTTTCCCAACTAGGAGGAGTCACTGATTTTCAGGGGGTGTTAATGTCTGCTTGGAGCACACATTAACTCACATGCACACTATATACACTGACATTCCCCCCAGATATATGCACAAACACACACATGCATACGCAAAGGCAGAACAGCCCACACAGCAAGCCTATAGCGCACACACCCAAACAGACTCACACCAGGAGAGGTGGAGCAGGGAGAGGCGTCGTGACCGGTGGCTTGGCAGAAACCCACAAGGTGAAAATTTTGAGTGAGGAGCATTTCAAATTCAGAACAGGTGATCAAACTGGTGCCGAAACCGTAGAGTAGCTGACAGCAACAGATGCCGACAGACTTTTTGGCAGAGAAAGAGTTTTTGGTGCCTGAATCTCAAACATGAAAGTCGGAGGTACTGAGCTGAAATTAATGCAGCTGGTTATCGTCATCTCACGGGAGGTGGTTCTTATCATGGTCTATATGTGGCAAAAAACTACCGGGTGGCATCTTCTGTTCATCTGTCACCGCCGCACATCTAATCCAGCCATAAATCAAGTCACATAAGAGTGCAGAGTAGGTTCTTTAGCAGAAAGCACAGGCTGAAATTGTGATTTCTGTCTATCTTTGGTCACTGTGAGACAGAAGTGTGTCCTCAGTTTATCACACACCAGCAGAAGGTCATTTCTGATTGGGAATTGAACATTTTGTCAGATCAGCTGCATATCTGTTACGCTGTAGCCCCAAATCTGGTTAATGTAAAAGCATAATATACTAACAGATTCCGATAAGGAAATGAGCTAAATAATTTACCAGCTCTTTATCACCTGCAGCTACACAAGTTTCAATAAGCATTTCACAAGCTACTATGACTTTAACTCAGTAATAACTTTAATTAAACATTTTCCTTTTACCTTCTATTCACTGAAATCTAAAACAAACAATCATACTGTGAGTGAACAACACAAGCACATAGAGATGGAAAACTCCACACAGGTCAGATGAGACTGGATGCAAGTAAATGGCGCTGGTTTAGTGCATCATCTCTGCCGTTGTTTACCCTCAATGGTCACAGACAGGCTGACAGTGAATTAAAGAATAAGTCAGTGAGTAACTACAGTTCTAATATATCCACACTGAGTGTGTCAGAGTCTGATGGTCCTACCTCCAATAACCCTTCGCTGAGTTTGTTTGCTTTAGCATTTTTATTGCTGTTCTAACCGGCAGTTTGTTTGGTGTGATGCTTTTCTTATCAAAGTGAGGTTTGATAAGGTAAAACAGAGAACAGTCTACAGGTGGACCTGGCCACATGAGCCCAGCTTCGAGACTAGAAGAACATGAACAAGCCACAAATAGTTAAAAAATTTCCACAACCCTTTCATATAAATCTTTTGGGATGCAACTAATGATCATTTTTATTATTGATTAAATCTTCACAGAGATTTGATACTTTTGCTTGATAAAACACAGCTTTATCATAATAATGTATCAAAGTTAATTGTGAAAATAAAAGTAACGATCAAAGGGGTTATGTTTACTGAAATTTTAGAATGATCTGCAGCTCCCCTCGGCTGAACAGAGCTTTGTAGTGAGTTTGTTTCTCTGTTAAACTGTCTAGCATGCACCTCTATTGATTTTATATTTCTTACTGTAAGGTTACCTGCCAAAGATTTTTATCTGACTTTTTCCGTCTCAAAAGATATTGAACAGTTTCCAACTCTCAGTATACCTAATTAATAACGGCATGGCAGCCAAATAATTACATTACAACTCAAAATAAACAGCAGCATGTTGTCTCCCAGGGTGCGTGGAAGTGTCTTGTTTTACAATCGGCTGTGCAGAAAACTTTGCATTCATTTGGAGTGTGTGGTCTGTCATTGTGACATCGCTCTCCCTAGGATTCACACCGAGATCCCCTGCCCTGGGCGTGACTCTGTCTGTGTATGGGTGTTGGGTGTGTACTTTACTTTGCATTCACCTCCACATGCATGTTTTTTTTGTGTGCTTGTCAGAAAGAAGAAGGAAGAGCGCAAGAGTGTGTACAGTCTGTGTGTGTGTGCTTTTACAGTGCCTGTTCATATGAGACAGATATGGGCAACATAAGCTCAACCACATTCGGATGTGGGAACCACTCGCTCTTGCTCCATGTGGCCCCTGTTGTACTTCGGTGTTGTAACCATTAGACCCCAGAGGCAAAGAGCCAGCTAGCACTTTGTCCCATTATGCTTTCAGTGCTAATATCAGTAGCCCGCTTATTGTGGGGACTTTCTGCATCCTGACCCCTTTGGGCATTACTGTAACACATCTGTTCTCAACACACAAACAAACACCTCTTGAAATGCTGTCTGCGTGTCTAAATGTCAATATCCTATGTATGTACATTGGTCTGAGCCTTCATGCTGTGTTTTTGTGAGCAGTGAGGGGTTTTCTTTGGAGTCAGGAGTGCATTTCGTCCTTTTGTGTACTACAACAAGCAGCCGAAGGAATAATCAAATAACAAACAAGTGGTTGAAATTCAGACACAGGTTCATCTAATGGCTGTTTTGAATATTAATACATTGCTTGCTCTGTGTATGTGTACGACTCTCAGGTCAACACAAAAGGGAAGAAAAATTATATTGATTCAGAAAATTGATTCACACTCATTTAATTCTTTTGTAAGTATTGACCCAGTTGAAACAGTTAGATGACACGTGAATTATGATTCACGGGAAATCTGGAAGTCAGAGGTTTGGGCTAATATTTACTGGAGTGGACCTATAGTATTATGTATATTAGTATCTATATTTGTTGTTGATTCCCATCCACAAAAAATAAGCTGCATCTGACATGTTGCACTTCAGTGTAATCATTGCATTAACATTACTGTAGCTCTCAATATCTGATGTACCAGCGTCTGACCTGGGACCAGAGCAGTTAAGTCACACATCCACTTCGTCACCTTGTTTAACCTTCAAATGACTGTTTCCAGTCAGTCATAAATAACAATTATACAGTATGTGACTAATGACTGATCAGTACCATTCTTGTTTTTGTCACATCTAAGTGAAATTATTGTATTTCTATCAGCTCAAAAAAAGTTTTACTTTTTCAAGTATATATAGTGTAATATACAATACATTGAGGTCTGGAGGTTTGAAGTCACAGCATACCAGACTTGGCAGCTTTCAATTGTCAGAGTTAACTAAGATAAGAGAGGGTCTGTGTATTTACTGACCCTGCTGGTGTTGTCAGATAAAAGCACATTTTCTCACATAACTTAAGAGCAGTGAATAGATATAGTGAAGAGATCACAGCGATCAAAACAATATTTTTTCTCTGTCAGTTTACCTTCACAGAGAGTTTTGGATTTCATCTGTGGTATAAAACCTGCTGTCTTAATGAAAGT